AATCTTCAATTTATTTTGACATTTTTGAAATTAATTAACATTAAGATAAACAAGATGCTGAAAAATTAAAAAACTTAAAATTGTTTATTAGTTTTTAAATAATGGCTTGAATATTTTTTATCTTTCTATACATTCACTAGCTTTCACAATAAAATTCCAAAAAATTTCTAAAATATATTCTGCATTTGTGAAATGTTTATATTATGCAAAAATAGTTTTTTAAATATTTTACAAAGTATTGCTAACTTTTGATTTCTTGGGATTTTTTAATCACCCTTAAATTCTACATTGAACAGTATACAATTTAATTTGTTTTAAAAAGTGTTAACAATTTCATAGTATCATATTTTATAAAATTTTTAAAATATTTTTTCATATTTTTATTAGCTTTGTCTTCCAATTTATTAATAAGTTAATAATATTTATTAATAAATTCATGTATGCGCTAAGCCATTTAACGTAAGCGGTAAGCCATTCCATTTTATATATTTTTTTTATTATTTAAACAAGTCTAAAAATAGTGTTGAAGTGGTAAGATAAAAGAAGAAACTAATGTTATAAAAACCACTTATTGCTTGAATGAGGATTACGTAAAAAAATTTGCATTAAAATTATGTTTAATATTCGTGCTATTTACAAATGTAATAACTTAAAAGAAATATATTTTTTTTTTATTATTCTAACTTTTCCATAAAAAATGTTCAGCAAAAAAAGAAAAAAATGTTATACAAAAAAAAAAAAAAAAAAAAAAAAAAAAAAAAAAAAAAAAAAAAAAAAAATCATAAAAGAAGCATATTTAAAAGATTTTATTTATCTTGCAATAGCAAAAATATTATTTAGACAATTTCTAACAAAGAATAAAAATTATTATTAAAAATAATTATTAAAATTTTTTTTTTAAAGTTAAAAAACAAAACAATATTAGTGTCACTTTTGATATTAAAACATAACAAACTTTAAGTGATATCTAATAAAGAGTTTATGTTTTTATAATTACAAATTTTTATGGATATAACTCAATTATTATTTTTTTTGCTTGAATTTAATCTTGAAACAATATGATTCTTCCAATCTGTTTGTTTATATTTATAAGTTTTATTTTGCAAAAAATAGTAGTTTAGAAAAATAATATTTTATAAAAGTTACATCAGCTTTATATAATAAACAGATTGTGCAATATCAAATAAGTAAAAACAGAAATTTCCTTATAATTTAGAAAGAATTTTTAATAAAAAAGTTATTTAAATTTAAAAAAAAAATTAGATTTTTTTTTTAAAGATTTTTTTCTTCCTTTTTGATTTTTTCCAAAAAATTAAATTCCTTGTTAACGTTATAACTTATAACACTGCATCAAAAACATTCATAAATCGTATGTTTAGCTTTTTTGCCTTAAAGCAAGGGAAAGCACAACGATATATATTTTTTAGTAACAGTATATATTTACGGTAAAAGTATTTATTTATTTTAGTAACAGTATTTATTTATTTTAGTAACAGTATTTATTTACGGGTCCAATTGGCTAGTTTTAATTAAATATGCATAAAAATATGCAGAATTTGACTATTCTTTTAACCTAAAAGTCTTTTTTTTTCTTTCTAAAAAGTAGGCCGTAACTAGATATAGTTAAGACTATTTTTAATAATTATAAGCTCTATATAATATTTTGACTATATCATATTTCTTTTAAAGGTCTGTGATTTATGATAGACGAAAAAAATTTAAATGATAAATTTTGCTATAACACAAAATTAAAATGTTTGTAGCAAACATTTTTATTTTTTGTTATGGCAAATCTTTTTTTAAAAAAAAAATCTTCCTAAAATTGCAATAAGAATTTGAATAAGATTTTAAATAAATACATTTTTTTAGCTGAAATGAAAATCATAGTTTAATAACATTTTTTCTAGTTGTTTATTGGGAATTGTTCCTAATTACAAGCTCTTTTTGTTTGGAATTCTAATATTTTTTGTGAAAGTTGATAGAAGTGTTGTTTTGACAAATATATTCAATTAATGTAATTAATGTAATTAATGTAATTGTTTTAGAACAGATAAGAGCTAAGATCTTTAGTAGATTAAAGTAGATAAAATTTTTTTAAGTAAAATTAAGTCACACTAGGGCTTCTCAAACAGGATCCCAGGATCCTGTTTTCCCCGGATCTTTGAGGTAGAAAACCATCCCGTTATCTTGGGATTTCAATAAAATTTCCTGGGAATCCCGGTAATTTTTTAAACATTTTTACTCAAATTTTGAGTAATAACTTTTTTAATATCTTTACATTTGTAAAGATATTTAAAATATTATTACTCAAAATTTGAGTACTAATTACTTCCTTTTCCCTTTTATAATGAATTTCTATAAAAATTAGGAAGATATCTTTTAGAGCGCAATTAATCACCAACATTTTTCAATTTTGGTTTGTATCTAAGATAAAATATTGTTATTGAATTTGATTTATAAATAGATTTGATTTACTTCTATGTTGTAACTTATAGCTTATAAAGCTTGATCAAACAAACCAAATCAATATAAAATAACCGTGGATAAGTTACAAGTATTTGTACGTGCAAAAAAAGTAATTAGTTACGCATTAAAGTTAATAGTTAGTAAGTAAAATAATTAGTTACGTTAAGAAAGCAGTTTGTAGGTAAAAAGTGAAATAAGTGAAAACCAAGTAAATGAAAACCAAGTAAATGAAGTTTAAAATATATGTTTAGTAATTACAGCTAATTTTAAATAATTTAAGTAAATCTACTATCAGCACACTATTTCTGGATTTAATTGTAGGTAATATAGTTTTATATTTATATTTTAATCAATTTAATTAATAGAATAACAAATATAGCGCATCATGTCAAGTGGATCTAAAGCATGAGAAAATTTTACAAAAGAAAAAAACACAGAATCTGCCACTTTTAATATATGTAAAACAACAATAATGTGCAGAGAACTAGTGGTCTTCTTCGTCATTTAAAAAATCTTCACAAGGAAGTTGAAATTGAAGCACCGAAAAAAAGGCCAAAGGGAGACTTGATTTGAAGTTAGAAATGCTCAACCTAAAATTACGTCATTTATAAAAAAGGAATCTATAGAAGAAATTGTTTCAAAATTGGTGACTGTAGATGGTTTTTCTATTAATGCTATTGCAAAATCTGAATTTATAAGAAAATCTTTATCTGATAAAGGAATGATATTGCCAAAAAACCCTTCACATGTAATGAATTTGGTAAAAAGTCAATACCATCTAGAAAAAAAAGTAGTGGTTAAGGAAATGACTATGTAAATTCAAGGCGGCTCAAGATTCTCTATTTCAATGGACAAATACACATCTTTAAAAAATCGTTGCTATTTGAGTTTAAATATGCATTCATTATCTAGGTTTTAGAACTTGGGCATAGTTCGAATAGTTGGGTCGCTTCCAGCTGAAAAAATTATTGATGTGGTTGAAAATAAATTATCCGCATTTAATTTATCTACAAAAAAGCTTATAATTTCTAGTGTAACTGACAGTGCGATCAGTTATGAAAAAATTTGGAAGATTAAGCGGGATAAAACATCAGCTATGTTATTCACATGGGCTACATTTAGCCATTTGTGATGTTTTCTACAAAAAATCAGTGATTTCAAATTCATCGGGCAGTGAGTGTAATGCATCAACGAGTCAGAATTCTGATGAAAATAATAGTGAAGACGACGAGTCTGAAGAAATCGATTTTACAACTTCAGTGGAATTAGTCAAGCCAAAACAACGATTTATTAAATTTACAAGACGTTGAGATCACTGACAAATTATTAAGCTGCATAAGTATAGCACAAACAATTTAAAAGGTCCGGAGAATTGTACAAATGTTTCGTAAATCACCACTCAAAAATGAAATTTTACAAAAATACATTAAAATTAAATACAATAAAGAACTCAAGTTAATACTGGATGTAAAAACAAGGTGGAGTAGCCTTCTTGCAATGTTAGAGCAGGTGTTTTTATTACAAAAATTCGGTCATCGTTAAGTGATAGAGCGCTATTGACAATTTATTTTTTAAAAAAATTATTGTAAAAGTTAGTATATATAAAATATGTTATTAAAGTTTATATATGTTTTATTTTGAGAGTCTTAGTTGCTAAAAATTATTTTGTCTTCATTTTCTTGTTAAAAGTAATAGTATTCAAATCCCTTTTTTTTGTATTTGTTTGAATTTACCCCCCCCTCAACTAGTTTGATAAATTCTTGCTAGTTACCCAATCCTGGGATCCCGGTAAATTAATCATTTTTGTCACGGAATCCCGCGAATTTGATTTTTACGGAAAATGAGAAGCCCTAGCTTACACTGTTAAGCAGAATTGATCTAATGAATCAAAAATAGTGAGTAATAATATCATTTTTGTCCTGGAATCCGGGGAATTCGATTTTTACGGGAAATGAGAAGCCCTAGCTTACACTGTTGAGCAGAATTGATCTAATGATTAAAAAAAGTGTTCTTTAGATTCACAATTAGGTGTAATAAAAAAGTTTTGAAAATCATTCAAAAAAGATAAAAGTTTTTTAAAATATAAAAACTTATAGCAAAAAAAAAAAGAATTGTAGCATCTAAACCTCTTTCTTGGACATAATACACTGATAAAATCATGCTAATTCCAAAATTAAAGACTTCAAATAAATTATAAATTGCATTACCTACACCGAGAAGCTTCTTTACATTTTAGGATCTCCTACCAAAAGCCAGGTAGATATAATCTTTTCCTGACTTACAAATCCGTTGTCCCTTTCCGGACTCCACATCTCTGCTGAAAAAAATAGAGTGTATTAATTAAATGTTATGTTGGCCATGTAATAATGCAGTAAATATGTTCAAAATCATATTGAAAAACATAAATGTACTGAATGTATGTGTATAGTATATTGTATGAATGTTCAGAGTACTATCTTATAAATGTTCAGAGTACTATCTTATAAACAAAAATAAGTGTACAAAACAAAACAATTTAAATATTTTGTGTTTAGGCTCGATTGTTTGATCAACACCACTATCAAACACCAGTTATTGGTTCGAATCTTGGTGTTTTTAATGGTTCAAATGCTGCACCAGAAACTCATAGCAAATATAATCACCATAACATTCAGGCAAAAAAAAATAGTGACCATTTAAGGTAAAGAATTTAGTGATTATTGAGAAACTTAAGTTGTTTAATTATATTTATGTGTAATCTGGTGTGTTATATCTTTTATGCATTGTTGTATATTAAAGAAATAAGTTGTTTTACATCATTTTTTAACATTAACATCATTTTTTCAAAATTAGTCATGAGGTATGGACATTTATCAAAAATGGTCATATGTTCAAAGTTATGCTGACTGAGGATAATAATGTGGTAGACCTTACGTTAAATTCTTCACTTGCTAAAGTAACCAATGCTAATTTCAACAACATTGAACATGATAAGCTTACTTTAAGAAAGGTATGCATTAAATAAATGGATACAATAAATATTTTTATTTTTGCTATATTTGTCTATAAAAGCCCCTGGGAACCACAATAGCGATTACTCATTTTTTTAATTAAGTGTTGTTATATCCTTTACTCAACTATAACATAAAGATCTTGGCATTCAATTTTGTTGTATGAAGAAACTAGCTAAGTGCAGTACTTTCAGATGGATTTAAATTTTGTATTTCCTGCTTACGATTCAAGTGCTATACCACTGCCAATATACCATTAATACTTCTAGCAATGACAGCCTACTAGCTCAGCATACTAAACTCTTTAAAAAAAATTAAAGATTATATTAAATAATTAATTTAGAATTAAAATTCATGTCATATTTTAAAAATGTTGTATTTAAAAAATTATGTATTTTCAATATTAATATACATAATTTTTTAAATAAAACTTTTTTTTTACAAAGTTAAGTTACACAGAACAGATGTTAACCAAAAGTTCATCATTAACTAAAAAACTCATAAAGCTGCAACAATACATCAACAAAAAGTTTTTATAATTTTTTATATAAGTTATAAAAAATTTTTTTAAATGTTTAACTTCATAATCCTATCTATATAAAATCTTAATGATTTGCAACAAATTATATTTCAAAAATAATAATTTTTTTCATATAAAAATTATTATTTTAGATTTTATTGCATAATAACTATAGTTTTTTAACTAAAAGTGAAAAAGGTGCATTTTTACATGTTTTTTAATAACAATTTTTTTCGGCAATATGATTTTTATAAAATGATTATTTTTTTCGAATTTTTTATAAAATTTTGCTTCTTTTGAGTACCAGGTTAACCTACTTTTAAAAAACTTTTTTTTCCAAAATATTAGGGTACCGGTAATTTTAAAAATAAAGTTGCACCCTTTAAATCTATCTCAATCATTCTCATATTTAATAGTATCAATATTAATAACTATTAGCAATGTTTAGAGTCTGTAACAAGAAAAAAAAAATTTGACCCATCCTAATATATATATATATATATATATATATATATATATATATATATATATATATATATATATATATATATATATATATATATATATATATATATATATATATATATATATATATATATATATATATATATATATATATATTATATATATATATTATTTTTTTTATTTACGTTTTATTTAAAGCCTTTGCGTAAAATAAAAAACTTTAGAAAAGATCAACGATTAAAAGATATTTATAACATAACACTTTTTTGTATTGCATTCAAATTGTTAAAACATCAAAAAAGCCGTGGTCAAGTTGTAAAGAAATAAAAATATTAGCGTGCTCAGTTACAGAGTGCGATTGCACGCCATTCCTGTCCAAGCTTGTATACACAACCCTAAAAATAATTTATTATAGTTATTCTATGTTACATTTTTATATATTATACATTATTGTTTTCTTAGGTGAACAAAGGTTTTATGATTCATTTCTTGCTTTTACACAGTATGCTCTATACAAATATTGGGTAAGATTTTATTTACAATTAATTTTTTATGTTGCTGTTTTATCTTGTTTTATACACTGCGACCAATTTCTATAGGCGCATGTGGATTATGTCTTAAAAACGTACTTAACTTTATTTTTATAGTGTATTTCAATAAATTATAAATAAAGTATCAAAAAATAATGAAAATTATCAAAAAATAATATCAAATTTGAAAAGAGGTCAATCATAAATGAATTAAATTCAAAAGATAGCTGACTATTTTCTATAGACACAGTTCACATTTTTAAACTAAACTATCAAAAAAAATGTTTTAATCACATTTTTAGTACTCGATTGGACTTCCTTTGCGCTCAATTACTTGATAAATTCGTTTTGGCATACTTCCTACCAAGTTTTCCAGCACTTTTGGCTCCATATCCTCCCAGCTTTCTGATACCTCTACTTTTAGCTCTGCCACATAGTTATATTGCTTCTGGTCAGCATATATACGTCTTACAATGATTCCCCAGATATTTTCAACAGGATTCAAATCTGGACTGCGAGCAGGCCACCACATTTGCTCGATTTTTTTAGCTTCAAACCAAGCTTTAGTCTTGTTACTAGTGTGAATGCTGGCGTTGTCTTGTTGGAAAACAAACTTTTTGCGTCGATATTTTTAAATGGAATTTTTGCGTCGATGTTTTTAAATGGAATCTAACATGATTTTAGCACATCAATGTATTCAGAACTTTTCATTTTGCAAGATGTAAATGCTAAATTTAACTTTCCTGTTGCACAAAACCCAAGCCAAACCATCAAAGATCCACCACCAAATTTCCTTGTTGAAAAATATTTGGGTTCTCTCCTCAAATCACGCCAGTAGCCACTAAAACCATCAGGCCCATCAAGATTAAACTTTTTCTCGTCCGAAAAAATCACCTGGTATTGAAAACAAAAATGTTCTGCTATTTAGACATCTTACATATTCATGAGTATTTAATCTAAAATTCGTTTCTGTTTGTGAACGGGCTTCAAACTTGGTGCTTTATTCATTTTTGATCGTACAATGTCTGGGCTGTCTTTAAGAACTTTTCTAATCGTCTCCTTGCAAGTATTTAAACCCAAATCTGACTTAATTGTTTTCAAACTTTTTGATGAATTTGATGCGAGTTGAACAATTCTGCGTTTTTCACTACTTGAAACCTTAGATTTCTTTGGTTTCCTCTTGATTGTTGCATAATCTGCTAAATTTTTCAAGAAATTACTGGTAACGTGATCTGATCTCTTCAATCTTCTAGCAATTTCTCGATTTGGAACTTTTTCTCAATGAAAAGCCAATATTTGACCTTTTTCAATATCGGTAAGGACCTTTCCTTTCAGCATTCGGTTTAGTTCAACTTAATTTCAACTCACAAAATAAAAAATACCACAGAATATAAGAAATTTGCGAAAAAAATCGTAAAAACTTTAGTGTGTCTATAGAAAATTGCCACGTGAATATTAAAAATTTAATTATTTTAATACAATCAAGACAATTAATAATCAGATGCATCGTTTTCTTACGTATACTTATTTAAAATTACCGTTACAACAATTTTATTACCACTGTAACACTGTAAATTCGCTAAATTCTACATGCGTCTATAGAAAATGGTTGCAGTGTATATTGCTTTGTATATTCTAATTAAAATAATAAAGTAAATAACCTTAATAGTTTTATTTTCATGTGACCAAAACCTTTGTAATAATAAAATCATTTTTTGAAACCTCTTTAATTCTCTACTGTGTATGGTAATGTATGTCAAATAAAAATTGCCATTGAAAATTAGAAATAATTATAAATGCTTCTTTTTTCTTAGAAATTTATTTCTATAAAGTGACAGTATAACAAAAAAAAAAAAAAAAAAAAACTGCCCACCTTAAAGTGTTTGAGGTCGGCAATCTCAATGCCAAACTTTAAACGTCAAAAGCCATGGTCAAATCGTTAAAGCATATTATTTTTTGTGTGGTCAAAAAGAAAGGCGTGTGATCGCATAAAGGCGTGTAATCGCATGTGTTCCTGTGAAAGCCTGGACTCAATTGTCATTCTTACAAGTTCTTTGTATTAAACAGAAAAACCTTTTACATCTAAAACATGACTAATTGTAGAAAAGTTTCTACTATTAAATTGTTTTTTAATAAAAAAAGTATTTTGTGCCAAAATGAGCAATAACTTGCTAACATTCAACTTAGATTATTTATTAATGATAAAATTGTTTATATAATTAAAATGTTCCTGTTTCTTTTCCCTTTTCATCTTATCTCCCAATTCTGTAAATGATTTTCTTTGTTTTGAGACATGTCTCTGTTATATAAGTGTCCTTTACTTCATAGATAATATCTTTTTATACTTGTGATAGTATAATATCTTTAAGATAATATCTTTTTATACTTGTGAAAATACATATCCATTTTTCTTGAAATGTTTTTCTTTCAGGCTTTCATAACATTTACAAGCTTTTTTGCACACATTTTCAAACTCCTTTGAATTAACTGATAGTCTAAAGTCTTTAACTCAAATCTCAAGCCTAAAGATTCCCCAGTTTCCTTCTGTGACAGTCCCGAATTTTAATAAACCCTCCGCTTCCCCCCTTTTTTGCAAACTTAAATCTCCACCATTTCCCATATCCTCAAAAGTACTGAAAACAAAAAACCACAAAATAAAATAGGGTTTGAAATGCTTCATTACTTATTATCTAAAAATCAGAAGTGCCGTAATTTTCATAAAACAACAAAAATAATGGAAGTTAAAGATTATATATTATAAGTATAATTGTAACAACATCGTAAAAATATCACCACAACAGTAGTGATATTTTTAATTTTTTTTTTTTTTTTTTTTTTTTTTTAACATCTTCACTTCCAACAAGGCTGCAAGCAACCACTATAAGAGTTGGAAGTTACTGGAAGAGAAAAGACTAAATCTGTAGAGCAAGATAACGATTGACTGATGACTTAAAAGATTGCAAATTATATGAATCAGGAAAGCAAGATGAAGGAAGCGAATTCCAAAGAACTGATGTTCGAGGAAAAAAACTAGAAGAATAAGAGTTTTTGAAGCACTTAGGAACAGTCACAGAAAAAGGATGAGACTTAATTGAATGGCGAGTAACACGAGAATGAATTTTAGTAGATGGCACAAGGGACGCTAGCTCTTTAGAGCAGTGCCCATTATAGTATTTGTAGAAAAGAGAAAGAGAAGCAACATTACGACGATGTGACAAAGGTTGGAGATTGGCTGCCAGAGCAGGTCCAACTATGTTTACAATTCGTTTTTGCACCTTGTCTAAAAGAGAAAGAGCATCATTAGAAGATCCGCCCCAGATGTGGCAACAGTATTCCATACAGGGACGAATTTGAGATTTATAGAGATAGAGAATAGAATCTGGAGTAAGAAAGTGTCGAGCTCGATAAAGAGATGCAACCTTAGCAGATGCTAATTTTGCAATGGATTTGATATACGGTTTAAAAGAAAGATCAGAAGTAAGAGTTAATCCTAGAAGATGAATGGTAGATGACTCATCTAGTACATTACCATTCATAAATATAGGAAGATCTAAATTATTACGATAACGATTGGCCGAATAAAATTGAGTTTTATCTGAATTAAAGTTCACCAGCCACTGTGAGCCCCATGCTGTAGCAGAAGTGAGATCCTTTTCAAGCTCAGATACCCCCTCCAAGCAATCAGAGAGTGTAGGCTTCTTATCATGACAAGAGTAAATGGTAGTGTCGTCAGCGAATAATGCCACCTTAGATGTGAGAATATCTGGAAGATCGTTAATGTAAATTAAAAAGAGTATAGGGCCAAGGATTGAACCTTGAGGAACCCCTGAAGTTACAGGATGTGAAGAAGAGTGTTGTCCATCGAGGACAACTTTTATACTACGATTGGAAAGAAAGGACTCAATAATCTTAAAGACGTTACCAGCTACACCATAAGAAGAAAGCTTATGGAGAAGACCAGCATGCCAAACTTTATCAAAAGCTTTAGAAATGTCAAGTGCGATAGCCTTAACCTCTCCACCTCTATCTAATGCACGGTAAAACCTATCGGTTATTACTGTTAGCACATCAGCTGTAGAACGAGAAGACCGAAATCCATATTGATGATCAGAAAGTAAGTTATTTGATTCAAGATGAGAGATTAAGTGTTTGTTGATTAAAGATTCAAAAACCTTGCTTATGACAGGAAGAAGACTAATGGGACGGTAGTTAGATGAATCAGATCGCTCTCCGGAATTTTTGAAAATAGGGATAACAGATGCTGCTTTCCAGCATGATGGAAAACAAGACTCTGATAAGCACTTGTTAAATAGTTTAGAAAGTATGGATGAAAGCTCCGGAGAACACCTCTGCAAAACTACAACAGGAATGTTGTCAGGACCACAAGCTGTTGAAGAGTCTAAGCAGGAAATTACTTTAGATACAGAAGCTGAAGTGATGCGAATGTCAAGCAAGGGATCAACCTGTTTGACGGCTATGTCAGGTAAAACGCAACTAGTGGAATCAAGAGATGATATTGATGAAAAGTTCTTAGCAAACAATTCAGCTTTGTCTTTAGGTGAGGTGACAAAGTCTGAACCATACAAGAGAGAAGGAATAACAGATTTGCCCTTATTATTGATACTGTTAAAGATTCTCCAGAAGTCTCGAGAGCCTAATTTTTGTGATGAGATACGAGATTTAATGACCTGGGAATAGCGAGCTTTGGCGTCAGACAAAACCTTTTTACAATGGTTTCTGGCGATAGTGAACAGATGTCTGTTATCTGGAGAATTGTTTTGCTGATAGATATGGAAGTAACGGTTTCGATTAGAAATTGCTGCAGCGCAATGTGAGGAAAACCAAGGAGAAGAGTGAGGCTTGACCTGGAATCGTCGAGAGGGAATAAAAGATTCCATGCCAGCCTGAATCCACGAAGTTATGTAAGAAGCACATTTGTCAGCAGGAAGACGAAAGATTTCTACCCAAGGGCCATCACGAAGAAAATCACGGAAAGAGTCCCAGTCAGCTTTAAGGTAGTTGTATGTGGTACGATGATAGGGGGATTCTGATGAAGTAGAAGAATTTGATAATAGTTTTAGAGAGATCAAACCGTGATCAGAAGCACCTAAGGGTGAATGTGGAGAAATTGAGCACTGACTAGGATCTAAAACAAGACATAAGTCGAGTAGAGAAGGTAAATGATTAGGGTCTGGAAAACGAGTTGGAAAGTTGACTATTTGAGTTAGAGATTGAGAAAGGCAAAAGTTGAGGGCCTTAACGCCAGCAGAGTCACTGACACTAGAGCCAAGCCAATCGGTGTGATGGGCATTAAAGTCACCAACAACGACGATATTGGCCGATGGATAAAGAGAGAGGGCTTGGTCAATTTGATCAGAAATAACATCAAGAATAGTGCAATCTTGGGATGAAGGAGAGCGATATAGAACAAAGAGAAAGGCAATAGAGTGAAGTTGTGCTAAACGATTATTTCTATTATTTATAAATCTAAAATTCAATGCTTTTTTTAGACTTGAAAATTTTACTTTGGTACATCAGGAGACATTAAGTGATTTGACAACACTTTTACAACACCCGAAAGCATCAAGCATCAAACAAGAAAGCTTGCTAAAGTATATGGCGATCAATTTGTTTGCTATTCATAATATTTTAGATAAGCAAGGTAATGATTTTTTAATAATTAATTTAAACTTAAATATAAAAATAATTTAATTAAATAAAAAAATAGTTTAAAAAATAAATTAATTTAAACTTAATTAAAAAAATAAATATAAAGCAATTTTTAAGACAATCATAGTTATGTGTGTTTGCATGTGTTAATTTGAGTATATGTATATAATAAAGTATGTATGTGCTGGTTAAAAACTATTTTAATAAGTTAAATTTTTAGATACTTTAAATGTTGTTCATGGCACTAGTTTGGATTTGGCAATTTTATTTGGAATGGATATGTTTTCTATATTAGCTAAACACTCTGCACAACTCATCAAAGAAAAAGGTAGAACAGTTTGTGATTATTTTTTGTCTGTTTTGGTTTTATTTTTTTCTGTCTGTTTTAGTAATTAAAGCTCCTAAATATATAAATATATAATTTTAAATAAAAATAGAGAAAAAAGTTTTAGTTTTAAATGCTAATGACTACTAAATAAATAACTTATTTTGTGTTTATTTTAACAACAAATTTTCTTCATGACAACAAAGCAGAATAAAAAGTAAAAAAAAACAACAAAACCTTTCATTACTGTAGTTTAATTACTAGTTAATTATATTCAAAAAATGAATTACAAATTATTACAAAGTTCAATTTAAAGTAAGGGTGTACGGGATTGGAAATTTTGAATTCAGGTCGGAACCAGATTTGTTGGAATCGTTAACAAAAATTTTGGCTGGAACAAGAATTATATTTATGTAATTGTTTACCTTCAAAATTGAAAGTGAAAGTCTGCACCTTATGGCTACATAATATGTATAAATACAGGGCTCGCATTAAGTGATCGCGATATCTGGAAATGCTTCCAGCCTTTATATTTTCAGCTTTTTAAAAACCGTAAAACTGTTGATCACTAAACTCAATAGATATCATTTAATGAAAAATATTTACTTCGATTATGATATAAAATGTTATTGTAAAACCATATTATTACTATTATTTTTATTATTATTAAAGATTATAATTTAAACTTTAATATTTTAATTTATTTTATAAAACATCAGATAAAACTAGAAAAATAAAGAACGATAAAGTACGATATAAATATTAAAAAACAAGCGATAATCGTAACAGTCTAAAGGACTTTAACAGTGATCAAATATTTTAAATTAAAGAAATTGTTAAATAAGATATAAAAGTATTTTATATCTTATTTAAATCTAATTCAATATTTTTTTAAAATTAAACGCTTGTAACACTTTAGCTGATACGAATACAAAATTAAAAGACAGAGGAGTTAATATATCAAAACTTTTTATAGTTATTTTAAAACAAAAAAAAAAAAAAGAAACTCTAATAACATATTTTAAAAAAATATACTTTATAATTTTTTTTCTTGTCAATAAATTAATTTCTAATTTTAAAACATTTAAATTTTTAAATAAATGATTCCATAGACTTTCCCCCTAAATAAATATCTATTTTAATGTTTTATATAATGCGTAAATAGCTTTAGCATATTCTTTAATTAGTTGGTTTTTTATACAAAGTTTCATTCAATGCGCAAATAGCTTTAACATTTTTTTATTGCTTGATTTTTAAATTACCGCAAAAGTTTTTCGGACCTTTAGTAATAATAATTTTTTTCTTACAACTTTTTTGTTATTTATAATCCTTAAATTACCTGGTGTTAGAAAAAACAATAATTAGTAATATGTAAATTTTGTCTGTTATTATTTTTGCAGTAGTAAATTTGTTTTGTTTTTTCATTAATTTTTTGCAATATGATAAATTGACCGTTTCATTAAACTGTGTTAACGGTTTTTTGAAAAAATAAGAATTTAATGACCAGATATATTTTCGGATATTGCAATTTGCGATCACTTAATTCGAGCCCTGATATATATACATTTCAAATTTTGATGGACTAAAGCTCATTTGTTTGACGCCACCCATCAGAAAAATTCAACTAGGACTGAGAAAAAATCCACCTTTTGGAAAATATTAAACCTCTTGTGAGTGTTATGGTGTGGTCTGTGACCTCAGCCATGGGTATGGACTGCCTCTACATTGTGGAAGGGACCATGAGGCAGAACCAGTACAAGTGAGTACTGGAAAATAGGCTCTTGCCCCAGGTCCAAGAATGGTACCTTTGTAATGAAGATTATATGTTCATGCATGATTCTGCAGTGTGCCATAAGACTAGTGTTACAGCATTACTAACTGAACAATTTGTGCACATTTTGCCTTGGCTGTGTAATTAACTGATATGAACTCCATAGAGAATCTATTGGAGTTCACAAAACGGGAAATTGCCAATAAAATCATCCCTCCAAGCAGCAGTTGATAAAAACTCTTATAAGAGAGTGGCATAACAACCCCAGTCTCCAACACAATGCAAAAAATTGCATAGAAAGCATGCCCCAACACCTGTAAGCTTTTAATTTAGCAAAGGGTTGGCTTTACAAAATATTAAGATTATTACCTTATTTGTTATGTTTTAACTTTTTATTTTTTAATAAATAGCTGTGAGTAAGTAATTATGTTGTTCGAACTTCTAGAAATTCTTACATAATTGATTACTACAAATAAAATTACATTGTATTTGTTAAGAATTTTGTATTTTTTACCTATTTTTGTTACCTATGCTTCGTTCCTCATTGCCATTAAGGACAATGATTTTTTAATTTAATTTACACAGTCTGTGTCAAATGTCTTAACAAAAATAATTTTAAATTGAAAAAAAACCAAATATATTTTTCTATGTGCGGACATTTTTTAAAAACAAAATTTAAAAAGTTTTCCATGGAAGCAAATTGTTAACTGTGTAAGACCTACTTTGATATGCCTGTCATGGATTTGGACATGTCTTAAGTACCTTGCATGTCAATATTGCAATAGAATTTTAAGGAAAGTTGAACTTTTCGCTTAGATGTGCTTAATTTTTAAAAATTTTAATGGTTCAGAAATGTTCATTTTAATTAGTGGTAATTAACAAAAATTTTATACTATACTATAGTATAGTATGGAAATGTACTATAGGAAAATATTTTTTTTGCTTATATTATGCTGTATTAATGGGTGTGTGTAGATTTATGCCTTTAAACATATACAATTGTTTAATTATGTGCTAAGTTACAGATTGGTACAGAGGAGAAAAAAATACTCATAAAGTTTGTTATCCTGCAATTTGAGTGAAAATTGAAGTACACTCAAGGAACTGCTTTTTTATTGTTTCCATAAATGCAGCTTTGGTTCAAATGTACCTTAAATTGTTTATCAAGATGTTTTTTGGCTGTTGCTCCGGTAACACACAGCCCCATATGGCTTATTCTTACTGCCTCTTACAAGAATCAGCCATCTTCAATAATAAAAAAGCATGTCTGACAACAAGGAAGGTAGTTATGATACAAATTAGTTTCTCAGGTGAGGTTGATGCAAGTAATCTGTATTTAACAAGAAAAACATCAACAATCTAATTAGAGATATAGATTTCACTAAATCAAATTCTGAGCTTCTAAAATTCAGATTAAAACTGGAAACTGTTAGATTAAAATGTGCAAGTCACATTGGTTTGTGCTTTTGCATCAATATGGACAGTCTTTTTGAGGCTATTAGTCTAACATGTTATCCGATTGAATGGCATCTTTCTTTAGTTAGTTTGTCTCAAAGCTGTGTTGCTTCACAACAGAAACAACTAACCATCTGTTCCAATTGATCACTATGTCTCACTCCGTGTATCTCAAAAAAGACTACAACATTTTTAAGATATTGATAGGTGCTTTGGCAATATAACAAAAAGAACTGGTCACAATGGACTAATCACTTTATGGACAAAAGCAACAGGAGCTACTGATATAAACTCAGAATGTGCTATTTCTCTTGTTGCACACTCTTTATGTAAAATGATCACAAATTGCTCCTGACAAGCAGCTATAACCTTTTAAGTACCTCCAAGATCTTTTTCTAAAGCTGTTTAAGGCTAAAATTAAAGTCTTCACCATACCGCAGATCAAAAAGATCATAGAATGTGACAGGTTTGTCAAGCTCCTGAAAAAAATGTGGAAGGAATGGCTGGAACAGTTTAGTTGCAGTTGTTCATGGCTTCCTGGGTAATCACAAAACTGAAAACTAAGTGGAGTTGGTTCAGATTTTAAAGAATTATTCCAAATGGTATGCAGAATATCTCTCATCCAACATTCTTGGCTTATCTAATAAATTAAAAAAAAAAAAATGCTTTCATCAAGATATTATAAACTTTAATCATTGTTATTAAGGATAGCATAAGCAAAAAATAATGCGGGTTACTTTGTAAAAGTTATTTAAAAAATCTACTCCTTTCTGAAACTTTTTGAGTGATTTTTTGATGCCTTTTTTTATTTATTTTACAATTGCTGTTTCTTAGCAGACTGAACAAACAAAAATATAAAAAATTTTGGTCTTAATAAAACAAAGATTGAGCTCAGTTTTGTTGTTTTTCTACAGTTTTCTAGACATAAATAGTTGAAATATAACACTATAAATTGAAGGACAAATATTGTGTTGTAAAGTGTAGTGTAGTGTAAATGTTAATAAGGATTTTGAGGCATTTAAAGATATAAATAATTTTAAAAAGACATGTTTTATACTTCATTTGACTGAATGTTATTAATGAAGGATTTTTAGGTCCCTGTGATCAGTTTATGCCAGCCTTAAGAACATGGATGAAGTGGTTAGCAAACCATTGTGAATTAGTGATGAAATCTTCTGTGAGGTATGCAAATTTTAAACTTTTTATCTTTATTTGAACTTTAAAATTATGATTGAATACCATTTTTATGGCACCATTTTAAAAATATTATTACCAATTTTGATACCATTAAAATTATAATTTAATATCATTTTTATGGTACCATTTTGCAGATATTATCATTTTTGATACCATTAAAATTATCTTTTAATACTATTTTTTAATTTTTAGTTCAATGTTTGATGTATGGACACGTTGTTGTGAACTATTTAATTGCTTAGCAAATATTAAAAATGGATTAACAGACAAAAATCAAAATGGTAGACTATTTTGTGAAATATTTATGCTGTTGCGAGGAGATTTTAATTAAGTGCTGTATAATGGCGTGTGGTGAATTTTGACCACAATATTGTACATATATATATATGCATACATATATACATATATATATATATATATATATATGTATATATATATATATATATATATATATATATATATATATATATATATATATATATATATATATATATATATATATATATATATATATATATATGTATATATATATATATATATATATATATGTATATATATATATATATATATGTATATATATATATATATATATGTATATATATATATATATATATATATATATATATATATATATATATATATATATGTATATATATATATATATATATATATATATATATATATATGTATATATATATATATATATATATATATATATGTATATGTATATGTATATATATATATATATATATATATATATATATATATATATATATATATATATATATATATATATATATATATATATATATATCAGAATGAGAGAATTTTCAAAACAAAAATACGTATCTCGTTAAATTTGGTGCAAATATATAGAAAGTAGGTTTTAAAGCATTTTCTGATCACTCTAAACTCTTTCTCAAGGCTCATTTTTGTGAGAAATTTCTTCACAAAAATGAGCAAGGAAAAGTTGATTCAAGTTTTTATGCCAAAATCAATTTTTAAGTTACTCATGTCAATTATGATCAAAACTAGGTTTTCTATTTACCTTACAAAAAAGCCTACAAAAGAAAAAGAAAAAAAGTTTTCTAATCACTTTAAAATTTCTTGAAATTATTGATGTTATTTAAACCTATTTCCATATTCCTTTTTGTCATCTTGCTGGAGCTTTTTTCAGGTTTTTTCATGGCATAACAAACTTTGTCTATGGTTACCAGTCTCATTTGTTTTTCTTCTTCACTAATGTATCTATGGATAAACTCCTGCATCATGCCTATATTTCTTTCTGCATGATCGTTAACTATAATCAAAGTTTTTGCATAGCCTAAAAACTGGTTCTAATATGATTGAGTGTGCCAGAAAGATGGTGGAAGTGACGACCAATCGCGTATTCTCTCTTCTGTAAACCCATTTGCTGCAAAAATAAAGTAGGAAAACTTCTTAACTAACACCGCCAAATTTGGTGAATTACTAGCTGTTTTGCTATCTAGGTTGATTATCTCTTTAACACGTTGACCGCATCGTGTATCCATATGTATACACGCGTAAACTCTCGTTTCTTCAAGTCGTGTATCCATATGGATACACGATTTTGATAGTAAATTTATTTTTGTTAATTTTAAGTATTCTAATTTTTACTTGTTTCCAATTGTTTCTTTATATTTATCAATTCTTAAAATTTAATGGCGTTTAAATAGATAGCGTTTTAAGAAAAAAAACTTCGTTCAAATTATAAAAAACACTGTGGTAAAAGATAACTTTATTTGAAAAAAATAAAACAGAAAATAACATTAGAATTAAAAAAAACCGTTATAAAAAAAAAATAAAATCAACATAATCAATAAAATCAACATTTAGTATGACATTTTTGAAAACAAGCTAAACAAAAAGGTTTTAAACAATTATCACATCTTGTCTTAATTTGACTAGCACGATTCCTGGCAATTGTGGCACCAAATTCTTTTGATAATTTGTTGTAGCATTCAGTACAACGTTTAGGCAGAACAACATATCCCATTTGCAAAATGATAGCCATAAATTTTCGCATTTCCATATTATTTGTCGGCAAATAGTTTGAATCCTTTGTTGGTCCATAACGATTAGTTTCTTCCACAATAAAATCGATAAGTTCGTTGTTCATAAATAAGTTATAGTAATCGACAGGTTCTTTGCAATCCATTACCATATCCATATTCATGCCCGCAGTTCCGTCATCAAAATCCCATCTTAAAGGTTTCTGCACATTTTTCGACCATTCTTCTGAACCATCATCACTACCACCATCAGTTGATTCACTATCAGCACTATCGGATTCATCAGATTCGTCCTGTTGAATTGTTTCCATTAAATCAGAATCATGTTCGTCATCACTTTGTAACAGCAACCTTTCAAAGCTATCGTTTAATTCAATATTATCATCAGCCATTCTAATAAATAAGAAAAATTAATAGCTAGAAAATAATAAAAATTTACGATTGTATCAAAAAATTAGTAATATCAATCAAGTATTTGAGGAAAAAAGTTGAAAACTGTTAAGTTTCGACAGTCAAGTTTTCCTTCAGTCGATCACAATTATTTATTCAACAATATTTAAAGTCCATACAATTGCTGAACTGGTGTTTAGCAGAAAACGCTAGGTTTATATACCCGTTTATCGGCGTGCTGGAAGGTTCTGGAACATTTTGGAAAAATATATTTTTAAATATTTAAAAGTTAAATAGTTTAGGTTTTGAGAAAATTATTGTTCGAATGTTCAAACAAAAACTAAAAATTATTAAAAAAAAAAAACTCCTCTTTGACTTATTTGTGTATACATATGTATACACGAAATATTCAAAAAAAAAAAGATTATTTGGCAATGTGATTTTTTCAAAAAAAGGCAAGGCGGTCAACGTGTTAATATCCACTTTTGGCTTATTTTCAATTTTGTAATCAGATGCCTTTAAAGATGGCATTTGTAAGATAAAATTGATTAGTGTTTTATCTTTATCAGAAACTATATAATCTTGAAGTGAAAGAGGTATCAAAGTTGAGTACCAAGTACCAATCAAATACAAAATTGAGTACCAAGTACCAATCAAGTACCAAGACTTTTTAATATTGAGTCAATGGTTTTATCTACAGCTTCTTTTACCTGGCAAACATCTTTATACAGAGTCATTTGATGTAGAGCTGTAATATTAAGGTATGGGGCTTTAATAGGATTGTGGCTTAGCAAGTACCATGTAGCATAAAAACAACAAATAAACTCCATAATTTGTTCTACTTGAGCTTTTACATCTTCTTTTATCAATAAAACACCTTAACTTTCAATAAGTCGTTTAGGTAGCAGATGTAACTTTGTATATTAAAGAGCTGAGTTAAGAATTAACAATTTTTGATTTTGATAAATAAATAATTAGTAATATTTATTCTTTTTAATATATTTTTTGCAATATTCAAGTGCATCTGTTGGTACTTTTTTTGACTACAGTACCAGCTTTTGATGACCAATCAAACCTTAATATGTTTTCAGGATTGTAATGAAACTCTGGATTGTCAAACCCAGAGTTTCATTACAATCCTGAAAACATATTAGGCTTTGATTGGTAATTAAAAGCTGGTGCTGTAGTCAAAAAAGTACCAACAGATGCACTTGAATATTGCAAAAAATATATTGTAAATGATTGTAATGAAACTCTGGATTATCTTATTCTTTTAAAAAAAAGATTTTTTTGGTCCTAACTTTTCTTCATAAGTAATATGTTTTTGAAAATGACTTATTCTAAGCTCTGTTACATGGTGCCATGGTAACATGGTGCCTGCAAATAATCTGAAGAATGTATTTACCTAAATCATAGGTAATTCTATTAACAGTCCTTTTAATCATAGGTAATTCTATTAACAGTCTCTTTCTAAATGCCAGTATTTGTTGCTGTTGTTTCAAAGCACAATTCATCAACATTTGATTTAATACCATATTCATCTAGCAATTACATTATTCCTTTATATTGATCGTCTCTTGAAGAGGATGGTAAAAAAGGCACACCTAAAAGGTGTGCCATTTACTAGCACAGCTAGTTGCTCGTATTTTAGTTTCTTTCCTTTAAATGTCTCAAATATAGTTTTTCCATCAAAATGAATTATACATGGGAATGTAGATAAACATACTTTTGTTTTAATATCTTCTTTAGCAATATTTAAAATTTCTTTATTTTCTTATTTTTTCATTCTTCTAGCTTAAGAGACTTGATTTGATGGCTTGTCTACTCCTGCAGCTTAAACAACCGTTGTTGTAGTTTTCTGCAGAACCATAGGAGAGATGTTATTAACAGTTGCCATTAAAGCAACATTTCTGGAATAAACATCTTTAGGAATGTTGGCCCGAATTTTTGTACTGCTCGGTTTCTTTTTCTTTTTATCTGTTTGCCTGGCTCAAAGTCAGATTCAGGAAATCTGAACCTAGTTCATCATTACTGCTAACGTCTTCTTCGTAAAGTTTTAAGATTTTACTTGGTGATCTATTTTTTATTGCATTTTTACACTTTTTTATAATTAATGATTTTACCTTATATAAAAATAAGTTTATTAGTTAAAAGTTGTTAGAGTGACAAAAACACAAAGTTAGAGCATATTTGATAAAATTATAAAGAGTATAATATTTAAAAACTTAATGTGTGGATGAAAAATAAAACTGTCTCAGCGTGAATATATTAGGTTACTATATTAGGGTGTGTCGATTTTTCAATTGTTTTTGAACTTCTATGACATTTTTTATATTGGTCAAAAATTTTTAGCCCTTAATATAACCAAAAAAAAATCTAAGTAAGCCACCTTATCAAAAGACTAATAAGAATTAAAAAAAAATAGTTATTGCGTCACATAATTAAAATCTTTATTATTTTTTAAAGAAAAAAAACTATTTGTTTAAATGGTTTTTGAGGAAAATTTTTTTATCAAAATAATTTCTTTAGACGATAACTTTTTTATAAAATTATGTGTCTTTTGACCAAAGTAAGCTGACCTACCTTGATTTTTTAGGAAAGCAAGTAGATTTTTTTTTGTCAAAATTAGTATTATTTTCTTGTTTTAGATACTATTTTGTCAAAATAAAAAAATAGACGATATAGAAATTCAAATAAAAAGTTAAATAAATTTATCAAACTACAAAGAGTATATTATTTAAAAACTAAATTCCACAAACAAAATAAAGTTAGTTAAATCAGTATTTTATATATTAATGCTTCACTCCATATAGTAAAGTAACTCAATAGTTTATCTACCTTGAGAGCATCATTTAATT